GGTTATTTTCTTGTTACTGCAGTTGTCATTGTTGAGCTGGCCCTGGCCCAGTGCAAACCCGCCAGACTGGGTGTATGTGACTGGCACCCTAGCCACTGAGCTATAGGTACCTCCTCAAGTGATGCTCTTGCCCTCCCATGTAGCTGGGACTATAGGCGCTTGCCACAGTGCCTGGCTATTTTTAGAGACCGGGTCTTGCTCTTGCTCAGGCTGGTCTTGAACCTGTGAACTCAGGCAGTCCACCTGCCTCAGCCTCTCAGAGTGCTGGGATTACAGGCGTGAACCACCACACCAGGCCTTTGCTTAAATGTCTTTACTATAAATGCTAGTAGTGCTGACCCTGTACCATCTGTAGCAATCTCACCTAATCAGTTAACTGGGAATGTATTAGAAATGTAAATTTTAGGGCTACCTGTTAGATCTACTAAGTCAGAAAATTCTGGAGGTGGTGCACAGCAGTCTTGGGATTTAAGTAGTCTTTCATGATGCTTGCCAAAGTTAGAGAGTCAGTATTGTAGAGATACCAGTTAAAGAATTAAAAATTGTTGGCTGAGGCCCGGCACCCGTTGCACAATGGTTATGGCACCAGCGGCATACACTGAAGTTGGCAGGTTCAAACCTGGCCCAGGCTAGCTAACCAACAATGACAACTGCAACAAAAAATAGCTGGGCTTTGTGGTGAGTACTTGTAGTCCCAGCTACATGGGAGGCTGAGGCAAGAGGATTGCTTGAGCCCAAGAGTGTGAGGTTGCTGTGAGTTGTGACTCTATAGCACTCTACTGAGGGTGACAGAGTGAGAGACTGTCTCAAAAAAAAGAAAAAAGAAAATGGTTAGGCAAGGTGGCCTGTAATCCTAAGCACTCTGGGAGTCCCAGGCGGATGGATTACCTGAGCAAGAGCCAGACCCCTGACTCTAAAAATAGCTGAGCATTGTGGAGGGCCCCTGTAGTCCCAGCTACTTGGGAGTCTGAGGCAGGAGAATCACTTAAGCCCAAGAGTGTGGGGTTGCCACAGCACTCTATCAGTTTTGGCTGGGGCCAGGTTCGAATGTGCCACCCTCGGTATATAGGACAAGCACCCTACTCCCTGAGCCACAGGCACCGCCCGCCACAGCACTCTATCAAGGGTGACAAAGTAAGACTCTGTCTCAAAAAAAAAAAAAAGAATTAAAAATCAATTGAATTTACTTTTGGTCAGTCATTGGGGACTCACTCCCTACTTTTGTACTTTTTTCTTTTTAATTATAAAATGACACAAAATTCTTATAAATTATAGAAAACATGGCAGAATGTACTTTGTGGGCCTTGCCAGTCTATAATTTTAAATGACCTTTTATTTCGAGAAAGCTCTCAATTATAATTTTAATATTAGTGAAAGATTGTTCCTCCCCTGATAATAGTTATTAAACGTGATCACTGTTATCCTGTAATTTTTCAACAAAAATCAAACCTATATATTATATGTGTAGAATAGTAATTATGATTTGATTTTTTTCATTTAATCTTTTTTTTTTTTTTTTTTTGAGATAGTCTCAAGCTGTCGCCCTGGGTAGAGTGCTCTGGCATCACAGCTCACAGGTGCCTGCCACAACTCTCAGCTATTTTTTGGTTGCAGTTGTCATTGTTGTTTGGCAGGCCTGGGCTGGATTTGAATCTCCCAGCTCCAGTTATGTGGCTGGCACTCTTAACTGCTGAGCTACAGGTGTGGAGCCATTTAATATCTTTGACATCTTTTAAAATCATGGCTCGGCGCCTGTGGCTCAAGTGACTAAGGCACCAGCCACATACACCTAAGGTGGCGGGTTCAAATCCAGCCCGGGCCCACCAAACAACAATGACAGCTGCAACCAAAAAATAGCC